GCCTATGATGAGAGGGGCTGCCATGAACATCTCTGACATGCCCTTGAGACATTTTCCCCATTGTCCTGTTGATTATCATTCAGGTCCTCATTACTTATGCAAATTTCTGCAGCCCGCTTAAATTTTTACACAGAAAATGGATTTTTCATTTCTATAGCTTGGTCAGGCTGCAAATTTTCCAGACTTTTATGCTCTGTCACCTCTTGAATTCTTTTCTGGTTAGAAATTTATTCTGCCAGAGGCTGGGCATGGTGGATCATGCCTGTAATCCCCAGCAATTTGGGAGGTTGAGGCAGGTGGATCACAAGGGGTCAGGAGATCGAGACCATCTGGCTAACATGGTGAAACCCTGTCTGTACTAAAAATACAAAAACTTAGCCAGGTGTGTTGGCATGTACCTGTAGTCCCAACTGCTCAGGAGGGTGAGTCAGGAGAATTGTTTGAACCTAGGAGGCAGAGGTTGCAGTGAGCTGAGATCACACCACTGCAGTCTAGCCTGGGCAACAGCGTAAGACTCCATTAAAAAAGAAGGAGAAGAAGAGAAAAAGAACAAGAGGAAGAAGAAGAAGAAGAAGAAGAAGAAGAAGAAGAAGAAGAAGAAGAAGAAGAAGAAGAAGAAGAAGAAGGAGGAGGATATGGAGGAGGAGGAGGAGGAGGAGGAGGCGGTGAAGGCGAAGGCGAAGGCGGAGGAGGAGGAGGAAGAAGAGGAAGAAGAAGAGGAGGAAGAGGAAGAAGAAGAAGAAGAAGAGGAGGAAGAAGAAGGAGGAGGAGGAGGAGGAGAAGGAAAAGAAGAAGGAGAAGGAAAAGGAGAAGGAGAAGGAGAAGAAAAAGAAGAAGAAGAAGAAGAAGAAGAAGAAAGAAGAAGAAGAAGAAGAAGAGAAGGAAGAGGAGGAGGAGGAAGAAGAGGAGGAGGAGGAGGAGGAAGGGGAAGGGAAAGGGGAAGGGGAAGGGGAAGGGGGAAGGGGGAAGGGGGAAGGAAGAGGAAGAAGGGGAGGAGGAAGAAATTTCTTCAGCCAGAAACTATAAATAATCTCTCTCAAGTTCAAAGTTTCACTATTAGCTAAAGTCTCTTAGCTAAAGCATAGCAAGAGTGACCTTTGCTTCACATTCCAGTGAGTGCCTCATCTCCATCTGAGACCACCTCAGCCTGGTCTTCATTGTCCATATTACTATCAGCATTTAAGCCAAACCATTCAACAAGTCTCTAGGAAGTTCCAAACTTTCCCACATCCCATCTTCTGAGCCCTCCAAACTGTTCCAACCTATGTCTTTTACCCAGTCCCAAAGTTATTTACACCTTTTGGGTATCTTTATAGCAGTGCCCAACTCCCTTGTTACCAATTAACTGTACTAGTCCATTTTTGCACTTCTATAAAGAAATACCTGAGACTGGATAATTAATAAAAGGAAGAGGTTTAATTGATTCACAGTTCCTCATGGCTCAGGAGTCCTCAGGAATCTTACAAACATGGTGGAAGGCAATGCAGGCACCTTCTTCACAAGGCAGCAGAAGGGACTGACTGAGCAAAGGAAAATATGACCACTTTTAAAATCAAGAGATCCCATGAGACTCACTATTATGAAAATAGCATGGGGGAAACTTCCCCATAATCCAATCACCTCCCACTGGTTCCCTCCCTGGACACATAGGAATTACAATTTGAGATGAGATTTGGGTGGGGACACAGAGCCAAACCACTTCAGTGATGTTGAGCATGTCTTCATACACTCATTGGCTACATGCAGATTTTCTTTTAAAAAGTGTCTGATCATGCCATTTGTCCACTTTTTAATGGGGTTGTTTGTTTTTTACTTGTAAATTTGTTTAAATTTCCTATAGATTCTGAATATCAGACTTTTTGTTGAATGCATGGTTTGCAAAAATTTTCTCTCATTCTCTAAGTTGCTTATGTACTCTGTTGGTAGTTTCTTTTGCTGTGCAGAAGCTCTTTAGTTTAATTAGATCCCATTTGTCAATTTTTGATTTTGTCGAAATTGCTTTTGACATCTTCATTATAAAATCTTTATCAAGTCCTATGGCCAGAATGGTAGTTCCTAGGTTATCTTCAAGGGCTTTTATTGATTTAGGTTTTATTATTTATGTCTTTAATTCATCTCAAATTGATTTTTTTTACATGCATTGTAAGGTAGGGATCCAATTTCAATCTTGGGCACATGGTTGGCCAATTATCCCAGCACCATTTTTGAATGGAAAGTCCTTTCCCCCATTGATTTTTGTCAGCTTTGTCAAAGATCAGAAGGTTGTAGATGTGCAGCTTTATTTCTGAGGTCTCTGTTCTGTTCCACTGGTTTATGTGTCTATTTTTGTATCAGTACCATGCTGTTTGTTTAGTGTAGCCCTGTAGTATAGTTTGAAGTCAGATAATGTGATGCCTGCAAGCTTGGTTACTTTTGCTTAGGACTGCCTCAGCTGTTTGGATTTTTTTTTCTTTCCTGTGAGTTTTCAAATAGTTTTTTCTAGTTCTGTGAAGAATGTCATTGGTAGTGTGTTAGGAATAGCATTGAATCTATAGGTTGCTTTAAGTAGTACGGCTATTTTAATGATATTGATTCTTCTTCCTATCTATGAGCATGGGATCATATCCCATTTGTTTGTGTTATTTCTTATTGCTTTGAAGAGTGTTTTGTAGTTCTCATTGTAGAGATCTTTTACCTCCCTCATTAGCTGTATTCCTAGATATTTTACTATTTTTGTGGCAATTGTGAATGGGATTGTGTTTCTGATTTGGCTCTCACCTTGGAAGTTGCTGGTGTACAGGAATGTTACTAATTTTTGTACATTGAATTTGTATCCTGAAACTTAGCTAAAGTTGTTTTTGGGCCAAGACTATTGGGTTTTCAAGATATAGAATCATGTTGTCTGCAAACAGAGACAGTTTAACTTCCTCTATTCCTTTTGGGTTGTCTTTTATTTTTCTCTTGTCTGGTTGCTCTTGCCAGCAATCTCAATACTATGTTGAACAAGAGTGGTGAGAGAGGGCATTCTTGTCTTAAGCTGGTTTTCAAAAAAACGTTTCCAGATTTTCCCCATTCAGGATGATGTTGGCTGTGGGTTTGTCATAGATGGCTCTTATTATTTTGAAGTACATTCCTTCAAAGACTAGTTTATTAGGGGTTGTTAATATAAAGAGATGTTCAATTTTATCAAAAACCTTTTCTGCATCTATTATGATAATCATGTGGTTTTTGTTTTTAGTTCTGTTTATGTGGTGAATCCCATTTATTAATTTGTGTATTTTGAAACAATCTTGCAAAATATGGATAAAGTCTACTTGGTCATGGTGTATTAACTTTTCATTGCGCTGCTGGATTCAGTTTTGTTAAGAATTTTTGAATGTATGTTCATCAAGGATATTAGCCTGAAGTTTTCTTTCTTTGTTGTGTGTCTGCAGCTTTTGGTATCAGGATGGTGCTGCCCTCATCAAATCAGTTGGAAACAAATACCTTCTCAGCGTTTTGTAATTGTTTCAGTAGGAATGGTACTAGCTCTTCTTTACATGTTTGGCAATATTCGGCTGTGGATCTCCCTGGTCCTGCCCTTTTTTTTTTTTTTTTTTTTTTTTGGTAGGTAGGTTTTTTTTTCTTTTTTATCACTGATTCAATTTTTGAACTCATTACTGGTCTATTAAGGTCAATTTCTAGTTTACTCTTAGAAAGTTGTACATGTCCAAAAATGTATCCTTTATTTTTCCTAGATTGTCCATTAGTTTGTGTGTTTAGAAGTGTTCATAGTGGTCTCTGGTGTTTTTATTTTGTTTATATTTCTGTGGAGTCAGTGGTAACATCCCCTTTGTCAGGCCTTATGTGTTTATTTGGATCTTCTCTCCTTTTTGATTCATTAGTTTAGCTGGAAGTCAACATTATCAAATAATTAACTCCTGAAATGATTGATCTTTTATATTTTTTGTGTTTGTGCCTGAATTTCCTTCAGTTCAGCTCTAATTCTGGTTATTTCTTGTCTTCTGCTAGCTTTACAGTTATTTACTCTTGCTTCTTTAATTCTTTTAGTTGTGATGTTAGCTATCAAATTGTTAATTTGATAGCTTTCTAACTTTCGGATTTGGGTATTTAGTGTTATAAATGTTCCTCTGAACACTGCATTAGCTGTGTCCCAGAGATTCTGATATGTTGTATCTTTGTTCTTATTAGTTTCAAATAACTTCTTGATTTCTGTCTTAATTTCATTATTTACCAAAAAGACATTCAGGAGCAAGTTGTTTAATTTTCTTGTAATGGAAATTTTCATTGTATGGTTTTGAGTGATTTTCTTAGCATTCATTTCTATTTTTATTGTACTGTGGTCCCAGAGTGTGGCTGGTATGATTTTACTTTTTTTTGAATTTGCTAATATTGGTTTATGCCTGATTTGTGGTTGATTTTGGAATATATACCACGTGGCAATGAGAAGAATGTTTATTCTGTTTTGTGGTGAATAGTTTTGTATATATATATATTAAGACCATTTGGTCAAGTGTGAAGTTCAGGTCCTGAACATCTTTGTTAATTTTCCACCTCATTTATCTATCTAATACCGTCAGTGGGGTGTTGAAGTTTCTCATCGTTACTGTGTGGGAATCTGAATCTCTTGTGCTCCTGTATTGGATGCCTATATATTTAGAATAAATAAGTCTTCTTGTTTAATTGAACTCTTTTCCATTATGTAACACCCTTCTTTATTATTATTATGTTTTATTGCTTTAAAGTCTGTTTTATCTCAAATTAGAATTAAAAATCTTGCTTTTTTCTGTTTTCCATTTACTTGGTAGATATTTCTTCATCCTTTTATTTTGAGCCAGTGGGTGTCACTGGATGTGAGATGGGTCTCCTGAAAAATCATACCATTAGATCTTGATTTTTTATTCAGCTTGCCAGTCTGTGCCTTTTAAATGGGGCATTTAGCCCATTTCCATTCAATACTAGAATTGATTTGTATGGATTTCATATTGTCATTGTATTGTTAGGGTGTTACTATGCAGACTTGTTTATATGGTTATTTATAGTGTCACTGGCCTGTGTATTTAAGCTTGTTTTTGTAGTGGCTCATAATGGTCTTTCCTTTCCATATTTAGTGCTCCTTTCAGGACCTCTTCTAAGGCTGGTTTGGGGGTAACAAATTCTCTCAGCATTTGCTTATTTGAAAAGGCTCTTATTTCTTGTTCATTTATGAAGTTTGGCTGGATACAAGATTCTTGGGTGAAAATTTTTTCTGTAATAATACTAAATGTAGGTCCCCAATATCTGTAGCTTGTAGGGTTTCTGCTGATAGATTCACTGTTAGCCTGATGGAGCTACCTTTGTAGTTGATCTGCTGCTTCTCTCTAGCTGACTTTAACATTTTTTTCTTTCCTTTTCACCTTACAGAATCTGATGATTCTGTGTCTTGGATGGTCTTCTTGTATAATATCTCATAGGGGTTCTCTGCATTTCCTGGATTTGAGTGTTGGCCTCTCCAGCAAGGTTGGGGACATTTTCATGTACTATATACAAAGATGTTTTCAAAGTGCTTGTTTACTCTTCATCTCTTTCAACGACATACATAATTCCACATTTCTCAGAACTATTGTTCATTCTCTTTTATTCTTTTTTCTTTATTTTTGTTTGACTGAGTTATTTCAGAGAGCCAATCTTCAAGCTCTGAGATTATTTCCTCAGCTTGGTGTATTATTCTGTTAATACTTGGGATTGCATTATGCAGCTCTTGAAATATGTTTTTCAGCTTTATTGATCAGTTTGGTTATTTTTTATAATGGCTATTTTGCCTATCACCTCCTGTCTTGTTATATTGCAATTCTAAGCTTCGTTGGATTGAGTTTTGATATTTTCCCGAATCTCAAGGGTCTTTGTTCCTAACCATATCCTGAATTCAATTTCTGTAATTTCAGCCATTTCAATCCAGTCAATAACTCTTGCTTGGAAATCAGTACAGTAATTTAGAGAAAAAAAAGGTGCTCTGGTTTTTTGAGTCATGAGAATTCTTGAAATGCTTCCTTCTCATTTGTTGATCTAATGTTTCTGCAATCTTTGAAGCTGCTGTCCTTTGGATGAATTTTTTGCCTTTTGTGTGTGTGTGTGGATACCCTTGGTGGTTTCATTATGGTATATGGTGGATTCAGTTGACTGGCTTCAATTCTCATCCACTCCTGGGTCTTGGAGAGTCCCCTCCAATTCCTGATGCCCATCTTTCTTTTGTTAAGTGTTGTAGTCTACTTGGATCCTTCAGGCAGAGGCTGCAATTGGCAGACAAGCCGTATCCTTCCCAGGTCAGCCCTATTCTGCTGTCCATGTGTTTCCTGGGGAAAACAGGGTTGCACCTGCTTGCAAAGTTCAGTCAGAAATGAGACTCCTGGGTTGGAAGCCTTAGTGGGTGTGGCCTGTCTGGCTAAGGGAGGCAGGGATGGATGCATTTCCCACCCGGCCACCTGGGTGTCTCCAAGGCAACAATAGGCCGTGCCCCTCAGCAAATCCAAGCAGAAGTAGGACTGCTGGGCCAGAAGCTCCAGCATATGTTGCCCACCTGGCTTTTGGTGGCAGTGGTGGGTGGGCTCATGCATCCTGCTGTCCTGGTGTTTTCCAGGACAACAGGAGGCTATGCCCTCCAGGTAAGTTCACACAAAATTGGAGCCGCTGGGTGGGAAGCTCTAGCAGGCATTGCCTGACTGGCTAGGAGTGAAGTGGGTGGGTGGAGTGGCTGGTTGAGTTTGGGCAGAAGCAGGGCTGCTGGAATGGAAGCTGGGGCCAAGCTCCATCCAGGCAAGGGGCATGGAGCAATTTTACTGCTCCCAGGCATCACAACTGCAACCTGTGTTGAGGCTGTGACACCAAGTGCTAGTCGCATCTGGAGCCTCACGGTGGGCATGGAGCAATCTTACTGTTCCCAGGCACTGCAACTGTGGCCTGTGTTGGGGCTATGGTGCCAAGTGCTGGTCTGTTCTGGAGCCCTGTGCTTATAGTGGTCCCCTTGGACTTGAGAATTAGCTCCATAAAACATCCAAGTGGCTGTCTGCCTCAGTGTAGAAGCATGGTGGGAGAATGCGGAAGCAGGGGTGGGCAGTGGGATTCTTCCATTTGGAATCTTGCGCAGGTTCCTGTGGAGAATGTGAAAACCCCTGGGGGCTTTCACTCACTCATCCTTTCCTATATTGAAAGGGTTCCACTGCCTCTGTACTGAGCCCAGACAGGCTGTGATCAGCTTGCCTTCTCTCTACTACCTCTGTTCTCTGGCTGCCTTGATGGATCCCAGTGTGGTTTCTCAGATGACTGACCTGCAGGGTCAGTGTTCACTAGCCCTTTCCTTTCCCCCCCATGAGAGATAAGCACATAAATTGCTTCCAGTCTGGCATCTTGGCCCCTTCCATCCACCATGTTAGCCTTTTCACCATTGCTAGAAACCAATAATATTTTCCTCCCTGGAGTACTTTGGACATGCTTGTCCCAAGATCTAGAACGGACTAGACTGTGCATGACTAGCTCCATCTTTACCTTGGTGTCATTTCGTCAAATAAGTTTTCATTGAATATTCTACTTTAATAGGGTTCCTCTATTATTCTCTCAGTCCTTATTCCCTTTACAGCATTTATTATAACTTAAAGGCACCTTGCATAGTTAACATTTTGATATATTTTCTTCATCAAATTTCTATCCATCAATTCACCTTATTTTTAGCTTTTATTGTGAAATAATCATAGATTTACAAGAAGTTGCAAAAATAGCCCTCGTCCGATGTGTTCTTTACCATTTTCTCCTAATGTTTACATCTTAGATTACTATAGTATAATATTAAAACCATGACATTGATATATAATGTTTGTGTAGTTCTATGCCATTTAATTACATGTAGAGAGTCATGCAACCACCACTGCTATCAAGATAGAGAACTAGTCCACCACCACAAGCATCTCCTTCACGATACCTCCCTTCCTTGGCACTTACCACGCCATCCTTCACTCTTGGCAACAGCTTATCTGTTTCCCACATCTATAATTTTAATCCACCTTATTTTTGGTTACTTAATTTTGGCATGTCTCCTCTACCAAAAATTAAGCTCCACAAAGATAGAGACATACCTGTCTTATTCACCATTTACCCTAACTTCTGAATTTTCTGGAATCCAAGTAGTCTATTATAAGATTATCTGGTAGATGTCCCTAATCCAATTTCAATGCACTATTTAAAAGCAGGGTTTAAAAAAAAATAAAGAAGAACTCTCAATCAAGGCAGTGTCCTGCCAAAATTTTAATAACAGCTCTTTTTATTAATAAATACTCTATTATTCACTAGCAATAGGCAGCAAACTTTATGTGACAATGCCAATCAAAGTACCAAAAAAAATGCATCATAAGTGAAACATAAAAGTTAAGGGGCAACTATATTAGTATGCAGAGAACCATAGGGCTTTATTTAAAAACCTACCATGTTACAGTGTTTTGGAAGTATTATTTGTTATAAAACTTGCACAGTTTGGGAATGGCTATGTAAAATTAACAGCTGGATGGAGTTATGGAATCATTTACCAACCAGTTGTGTCTCAAGAACAATTGCTCCAAATGCATTGACTTGATTTTAAAAGAGATGCTGACAACTTTGTGAAGACCTTGAAAAGCAATTTATTCAAAAAGAATTCTCTTAGGGCTGTATGTGATTTCTGTTTTTATTTTATCTGCCTTTTATTGACAGCATATTTTTGTTTCAATTGTTAACTTCAGAAATATTTAACATCCCTTAAAAAATGATTTGCATCACAGCAGCCTCTTTAACTGTTAAGACTTCATCTGTCCTGCTACATACTTATCTCTCGACATCATGTTTTGTGACAGAAATCAGGGCCATTTGAAATTGGAATGACTGTAACGTTATACACCATGAAGAATTGGAGAAAGATGCCAATTGTGCTTTACCAACCATTAATTCTATTCCTAGTCTACTCTGCATTTATAAAGCACCTGTTGACTTACCCTAAGGATCACTTGTAAATTCAAGTTGTCCAGGCATCTTTATTTTCCTCAGTAATCCTTGTAAAGATGCAGAAACTGAAGTCAAAATAAGCACTTGGGTTGTAAGCAACTTCCATTTATTTATAGCAAAACAGGATAAGAAAGTCCCAAACTAACTGGATAAAAAAAAAATATTCTCTTATTTAACTAGCAAGAAAGAAGTCAACCTATGAAAATATTTTGGGTATAAACAGGAATTTCCAAGAAAAAAGATGATAACATTTTCTTTTGCACATAGTTTTATTTATGCAATTTCAACAAATCTTGACATGCAAAGAAAAATTTTAACTTCTAATACTATGATAAGATCTATGATAAGAGTGTTAGCAAGTCGAACTCATCAGAACTTTATGAAAAGAGCTGAACTATAAAGAAGGGCTGTGTGTAAGCCATACCTTTAGAAGATATAAGGTGAACTTCATTGCCACCTATGAATCATTTATAATAAAAGCAAAAACATAAATTATGTATTAAACACCGTTAGGTAATATTGCTATTACCATTTTGTTTGAATACATGATTCAGTCTTAGGAAGATTTACAGGCCCTGTTACTCTGTTTCTTTCCAATATGTTTCCAATAAAATCTTATATTTGTTCTGATAATATATCTAGACAAATATCTAGAAGGATCTAAAGCAAAAGACAGATAAGTTAAAAAAATTACTAAAAAAGGAATGCTATATTTTTAGTTGTTTCAGGACTGACACATGACTCAAACGGAGAAATCAGTTTAGGCTTTCAAAAGGTTTTTCACCATTGCTTCTGTTGTGCATAATAATACACAAGTAAAAAGTTTCCAACAGCAGGAATGAATAATATAAAATGATTTTATTTGGTACTTTCAGACTGTAACTCATTGACTGACAGTCAAACTGAGTTTAATTTGAAATACTACAAAATGGGTTTCAGAGTTACCAAGATAGAAGTTGCAATTTCAAATCTAATATTTCTTAGTTAAATAATATTGGCCAAATTGTTGTTCCACTCCAAGTTAAGGTTTTCTTGTGAGAAAAATAGGAATATTAAATTCTGTTTTGTAGAAATGATTGTTTGGATTAATTGAGTATATGCATATTCACATATAATTGATGCTTAATAAAGTTTATTTGATTCTTCTCATTTTTTAAAAATTTTTGTTTTCTTCTCCGAATCCTTTACTAGAATCTCCATTTCTTTAATGTTAATACTTCATAGAATCTTGACTTAAGACTATTCTTTTGACAATCTCTATTTTCTTTCAGAAAATCTCATTTATTTCCATAATTTCCATAATTAGTAAAGTTCAAAGTCTCATCTCATTTCTCCCGACATTATGTCTCTTCTGACTTTATGTCTCCTTACTTTTAGCTACTATTTTTGAATGTCAGAAGCCACCTCAAAATGATCATATTCTAAAACACAATAATAATCAAATTATCACTGCCCAAACTCAATCTTCTCTCATTAGTCTATATCTCAGTTGTCAGTAGCGCCATTTTCTCTGTCAGCAAAAACAATTCAGAAACTCCTCTTTGTGTCCCCTTTAATGCATAATCTGTTTCTCTCAACCCTATCTCTGAGAAGGTTTTTTGTTCCTGTCTCTCATCCACATCACAATTTCCAATGCCACAGCCTAGGCCGTCCCATATCCATTCTACACACCCACTGAACCATTTATTATAAATGCCATATTTTTATTATTTTAACAATATCTCTCCATAATCTACAGAATGAAATTGAAATATAAATGACCCTAATGTGGCTAATCACCCATCTTTACTTTGTGAATGCCCTTCACACAGATACCATGTTTCCTCTTCTATTTTACTAAACAAATCATTTCCTTTTCTTTGAAAGTGATAAGCCCTTCGCATCCTTCCAAGATTAGCTTTAAATAAAGATGATTTTCTGTTGTGGAAAGCCTTGATGGCATCTTACATGCAAAGTTAGTTTCGTTCTCCTTTGTTCTCCAATAGCAGTTTTTGAAAATTTAGATTATTGCGCTTTGCCTATTGTACATATTTGTTTATGGGTTTATATAAATAATATATGCCTATATTTTCTCACCACAAAGTACTTGGACAGATCCTTAAAGATAGAGCCTTGGATTTTATTCACTTTAACTCACCTCTGTAAACTACACTTTGGAAAAATAAGAAGCACTCAATAAATGATGCTTATAAGTAAATTTTGTGGCATCCTCTCAGCCTGATATATGCAGAGATACAATAAATTTTTTCTTGACTTTAAATAAAATAATATAATATTAAGAAGGTTAGTTGCTTCTTATGGTGCATAGAATTTTATGTTCCATGTACCAATTTCCACTTATTTTTTAATATGTATTTAGAAACTAAAAATAAGTTATCAGTTTGTATTACCAATAGATAATTTATAAGTCTCAAACAATCTGGCATATTTCTCAGAACTGCATTTTAGAAATTTTCCAAAATAACCAATATATTTTAAGCAATTTTTCTTTGAAGAAATCCCTCAAAATGTGACAGAAAAACATTTTCCTTGTGGATTTTTATATACCTTTGTTTTTCAAATCAAACACTGTATTCAAGCAAAGCCTAACTTTGGAATCTTATATTAAGTAAAACAGAAAAATCCCAAGCTGCTACAGAGCTCCAAATGCTTAATCCCCCTTTCTGCAGCCCAGCTTCTCCCCATCTGCTGGTTTTCCAAAAGGAGCCTCAAAAAGCACCACTCTCGAAACAGGATGAATAGTGTTGCAACGCTCTGTTCTAAGAGACCACTATCCATAGCAGATGCTCAATGATTTCAGAACCAAGAAATTGGGTGAGCAAGGTAGGTGTTTTGAGTAGAACTGATTTGGTCATCAGTTAAATTTGCATCTCTACTATTTTTTATGCAAAGTCTTTCTCTGTGATATTACATCTTCAAATTTTCATCCCCACTTGTGCCAAGTGGCTGTCCAAAACCTTCAATTAGAATCTATATTAATCTAGTTTGTTTATGGGAAGATGAGTGGCCTGCAGACGCCCATAAATGCATTAGAACATGTCCTGGAATTTTTTATTTTTGTTATTTAAAAAATGCTAACATGGCTTTTATTTATGACCTTGATTTTATCTCAAATTTGGGCAGATGCTATCAGGACATGACAAACAGGGAGGATAATTTGTGTATTATCAAGGACAGAGGAACATTGGGAGTACTCAGAAAAAAATTGAAAAGTATCTATTACAAGTTATCTGCAGCTCTGAGAGGAAGAGAACATTTAAAACATTCTTTTTGGATATGGATTTTTATTTTATGGGTTAATACTGCAATATTTTATAATGATTTTTTCTTTTTAAATATAGATTTCAGAATTCTCTTTATTCTTTTTTATTTTTAACAAATAATATTTGTTCTGATTGAGGCACTGTTCTGACACCTAGCAGCACAGGGTGAACAAACAAAATCTCTAGCTACACCGAGCTTAGATTTCACTGGTGGTAACAGACAACAATTGAGATAAATAGGTAAAATATAGAGATTTTCTTATTAGTAATAACTGCTACTTATAAATTGATACCAATATAATCACTAAAGATTTTTTTGTATTTCCCATCTTTAACCTAAAACATTTAATAAGCTTTCAGTGAATTTTTCTTGCTCTTTTATTTTCCAAATACTTTAGGCTTTTACTTCATGTTCCTTACTTTTAACTGATTTTTCAACCCCTGCACCCTATTCTTTCCTAACAATTTCTCTCTCTAAATGATTTGTGTTCCACTGGCAGCTCTGTGCTAAAGAAAGTGATATATCCTGATGAAGCCATTAAGCACTGTACTGTGGACGTTAAGAGGATGATATAGGCATGATTTCAATCATGCAAAAGGAGACTACCCTTGTTCTAAGAAGGAAATGCACCAGAGAGCTTAACCCACTGTAGTTTACTATTCTTTTCATTAGATTCAAATCCGGAGATGTCAGAAGAAATTAACACTTTTCCTCCACAAGGCAATCACTGTGAGTATCATCATCATCAGATGTGTGTTGCACACACGCAGAGAGCAGGGCTAGGACTTGGAATGTACAGCATGCTGAGAAGAACCAAAGTACAAATTGAGGAGAAATGGGTTGACAATATGGAAAATGTATTAAAAGAAAGTTGGAGTCTTCAGCTTGTACCGTCAAGATTTTCTGTAAAAATCACTGTTATACAAAAGTCGTAATACTGTTTCCAAGCTCTGTTATAACCCCAAATTATGTTTAAGTATGTGTTTAATTACCCTTAAAGTATTATAGAACTTAATTTTCTTTGAAATATGGATGTAACCTGCTTTATGAAATAGACCCTTAAATGGCGTACAGGAATTATGTATTTTGGGTAAATCAGGTTTTAAATTAAGAACAGGTCATAGAACTAAAGTAAGGTCTATGAGAAAATGTATTTACCAAATGCAAAATTAGAGCAATTGTGCTTTAATTTGATATTTTTCTGCAGATGAATATGAAATAATAAGATGTTTAAGCCACTTCACATACATTGTCTATTTTGTTAAGGCTTAATTTCATGTTTATTGAAACATTTCTTGATTATATGATACATGGTATATATATCATTTTGGTATACACATGGTACCAAATTAAGTTCTATAAAGTCTATGATATTTTGATTAAATTGTTAACAAATCCTTTCTAACAGATCAAAGATGTTTGCTCTTAAGCAGGGCAAGCCCAAAGTAAAAAGATAATAGAAATCGTTTTAATTCCTTTAGAAAATACTATTTACCAAAGTCTATGCTGTCTTTCATAATGAAACATTCTGGATAATGAAATGTGTATCTTTTAAGCATTAAAAACAAAAATTAACCATTCAAAATTAAAATTATACTATAATATAAAATACACTGATATTCTTGCTTGCAATTTAAACTAAACACTAAGATTTTTTCAACACAAATCTATTTTCTGTGACAAATATTAAATTATTTTAATCTTTTTTGAAATCTAGGTTCATAATTAATAATACCAATTATTTAACTGAACTATATTAAAAACAAAACCTTAGGGCCTGTGGAAGCATGAAGGGCCATTTACCTTCTATAGAAAATAATACTGAACAGTTTAAAGCTCTAAATCATGGGCCTGCTTTTCTTACCTTATTTTTTCATCTCTTTCTTTCTATTATATCAAAAGATTTTAGTTTCCAGTGCTATTTCTGTAGCTAATAAAAGCATTTCCTCTACTTGGGATTATCATTATAAATTAATGTGACCTTCGAAAGCAGAAAGCAATCTCATTAGAATTAAGTATAAACTAAGTTTATAGACCTGAGTAAGAATTTCAGGGTTTCTCTTTAAAAAGTATAAAGATGGTGAAATTGCTTTAAGCCAATCACTTTGGATGTGTGGGTGTGTTTGTGCATGTGTGTGTTGCATTACTAATTTGTCTTATCTTGATAAAAAATAGAAAGATTATTATTTGGAAACACATGAAATAGAACTATACTTTAAAAATTGATTTAAATTTAGAGAAACACTTGGGTCTGGTAATTGGCTGATCTGCACAACTTGTTCTAATAGTTACTCTTTGGAAATTATTATTATTAAATTTGAAAATATTATTTTGCTTTTTAGGTAAGTGATATACAGGTGAGGTGTTTTCACATGTGCTCAACACTAAGTTATTGTTCGTTTTTTGTTGTTGTTTTGTTTTGTTTTATTTTTTGGTGAAGAGAAGACAAATAGAAGCAATGGAATCTTTCATAAAAGAATTTAGATGCTGCTCAAGGCCATGGGAGCCCACCCCTTGCATCAGCATGCCCTTGATGTGAGACATGGAGTCAAAGGAGATTATTCTGGAATTTTAAGATTTAAACCCTGCAGGGTTTCAGACTTGCATGGGGCCTGTGCTCCTTGGTTTTTGGCCAATTTCCATTTACTCAATGTTTGTACACCCATTGTATCCTGGAAGTAACTAGCTGCTTTTGACTTTACTAGCTCATAGGCAGAAGGGACTTGCCTTGCCTCAGATGAGACTTTGGACTTGGACTTTTGAGTTAATGCCGGAATGAGTTAAGACTTTGCGGTACTGTTGGGAAGGCATGATTGGTTTTGAAATGTGAGGACATGAGATCTGGGAGGGGGCAGCAGCAGAATTGTATGGTTTGGCTCTGTGTCTCTAACCAAATTTCATCTTGAAATGTAATCCCCATATGTGGGAAGAGGGGCCTGGTGGAAGGTGATCAAACCATGGGGCAGACTTCCCCTTGCTGTTCTTGTGATGGAATTCTAACAAGATCTGGTCATATGATAAGTGTGTAGCTCTTTCCCGTTGGCTCTCTCGCTCCTGTTTTCCCATGGAAAAGACATGCTTTCTTCCCCTTCACCTTCCACCGTGATTGTAAATTTCCTGAGGCCTCTCAGTCATGTTTCCTTTAAGCCTGTGAAACTGTGAACCAATTAAACCTCTTTTCTTTATAAATTTACCCAGTTTTAGATAGCTCTTTACAGCAGTGTGAGAATGAACTAATACAGATGCTAATTGGGGAACAGGGAACTGTGTAAGTGAAGAATGAAATAAAAATACAGGATGACATTATGAGGAGTTGGTGCTTTGAACTATGTGTGGTTCCTAGCCTAGCAGCATCTAGTTCGTCTGATAGTTTGTTACGAATGCAGACCTGTAGGCCCAACCTCATACCTGCTGTATAAGAATCTGCATTTTTGTAAGCTCCTCAGAAGGCCCATATGTACCTTAATATTTAAGAAATAGTTTCATAGTAGACCATTGTAAATTTATCCTCATTATAAACATTTTTGAACTACATGGAGGATGGCATGCAATGCATAGCAGAAACATAGAAAGGAGTACACACCGTAAGAGGCTCTGGATCTCAAAGCCCAAATAGGCCTAACTCTGTAACCAAGGAAATACATACCTAGGGAGACTACTGGAAGATAGGAAAGGGAGAGCAATCTCTCAAATTAACTTTTAGTGGTACATTCTTGACAGTCTACTAAGTTCGAACCTTTTTCTTTGAGGACATAATCCTTTTCAAAATAAAAATATTCCCTAGCTAAATTCTACTTTACCTCTATAAATCTTACCAGCCCTAGAAACCCAAAGCGAATTTCTGTCTAGACAATGTTCTTGATACAGATTTTCTTGATCATAGTGCTAAGTACGGCTATGTGCACGTGTATGACTGAATATGCTTCTGTGTATTTAAGATTAAAACCTAATGCAAATTATAAAATCCTTCATGGGAGTAGGCACAGCATATGATTCTTTGCTTTTCTATCAGCATATAGTATAATGTGTGTCTCATAGAGATAAGAAGGAGAGAGCTGAGCTGTCATAAAGGAGAGCTAGAAACACAACATGCCTGGGACTGGGAGGCTACAGAAAAGAAGATGGGTTTTCATGGCTCTCTATTTTTCCCGGGTATGTTCCAGGGTACTAACAATCTCACTCTTCATATACAGTTGTTTTGGGAAGCTATAAGAATGTTGTGAAGGGTTAACCTAGCTATTGATTTAGTTGGCAATTGTGGAAGCATTCAGGGTTCAGTGTAATCCTTGCACCCCTGTTAGTAACCTGCTTGTCCTCTAAACTGTCTCCCAGTGAATACTTGCAACCCTGGGCATTCCCCATATGCTTTGGCATCAGTCTTTGGCATTCACTGTCGTTTCATAAAATAACATCCTTCTTGAAAACAGATTGGGAAAAGAAATCAAGGGAAATCCTTGGCAATTTGCCTTGAATCTCAGTGGATGTTATGCTTTTCTACAGGGAGTACAGGCAGGTAGACTTAGAATGAGCTAGCCTTGCTCAAGGGCCATATGCAGGTGAAGAGAAAGCAAGAGATCTGGGATAAAGCCAGCAGGCTGTCACTCAATTTACCTCTTCCATTTGGGTAGGAATAAGAAAATGAACAGGTTTACCAATTCCATTATCCAGGAATAAAAATTTAATAATGTCTAACATTTTTGTATTAAACCGTTTTATTTTTGATGTTCACATCTAGGTACAGTTTAGTAAAAGCAGTAAAAAATTTTAACTTGATTGACTACATGTTGAAAAGAATAAGATTCTGATTTTGGAGACATTTTAGATGGGACAGATTTCTCTCCTCTACTGAAGCCAAGACTTAAATGTACATGGTGGCCAGGTTTGGTGGCTCACGCCTGTAGTCTCAACACTCTGGGGAGGCCAAGGTGGAAGCACCTCTTGATGCCAGGGGCTCAAGACCAGCCTTGTGGATATAGCAAGATTCTGTTTCTACAAAAAATTAAAAAAACTAAGCAGGCATGGTGGTGCATGACTGTAGTCCTAGCTACTCAGTCAGGAAGCTGAGGCAGCAGGATGCTTTGAGCCAGGGAGTTAGGTGCTGTAGTGAATGAACCATGATCACTATACTGTACTGCAGCCTGGATGACAGGAGACATCATCCCAAAATAAATAAATAAATAAAAATGTGCATGAAAATCACTTGGGAGTATATAACACAGA